GCGGTCTAAAGGGGCTGGCTCTTTTTGTAGGACCTAACACCAAGGGGTTCTTCTTATATTTCTGTTCAGGCACGGGCACCTCAGGCACATCTCCCCCCCATCTCTCACACACACGCACCATATTAATCTACGCTATCATCGTGACGTCCTCATGCTGAGTTGGGTCTTACCTTAACTTCCTCAGAGCTTATTGGTCCTACAGGTTAAAAAAAAATAGGACCAAATTTTTTTCTCAATAACAGGGGGTGGCGGGAAAAACCGAAGAAAACCCCCCGTTGTACCCGTCAGGAAAGAGAAAACCTTAATTTTAACTTTTTTGGGGGGGGGGGGGGGGGGGAGTCAGGGGCGTGCAGGGGGAAGCTCCCAGTCCTGACTTTCTCTCCTATGTTCGTCAAAACCATAGAGCTGCCCTGGGCCTCACTTCCCGGCTTGTCTTTGAACTTAGTCTCGGCCACAGATTCCGACCTAGATGTGCGGCTGCAGACACAGGGGGAGGTGCCCGCTGTCTCAGTCAACGGGGGTGGGGGAGGTTGGGGGGGGGGGAGGGACAGTAGCAAACAGCACAGTCCAGGGGTTTCAACCACGGACGTTCATGTCTCACAGCTCCGGGGCCCTGAGTCGTAGGTCAAGGGACCAGCAGATTCTGTTCCTTGTGAGGGGTGTGGGGGAGGCACCCAATCGATGTGTCTCTCTCACATCGAGGCTTCTCTCTCTCTGTCTCTCCCCCTCCCTTCCACTCTCTCTAAAAACCAACGGAAAAAATATCCCTTGGAGAGGGTTAACAACACAAATATCTGAAGAAAATACACGAACCTTTAGGTCAAAGAAAAAGTTTTAAAATGTGACATGATTGCACTCACCTTTCTTACTAAAGGGGTTGTAAAATGTCATTTTAATAACTTTCATGGGGGAGGGGGCCCACGAAAGGCACAGTGCCCCCCGGGGCCGTGTCTGTCTCATCTGCCGCCTGTGTACTCTCCCCCCGCCCCTCCCCCCCCAGCCTCTCAGAGTGCTTGACGCAGAGTATGATGAATCTGTGCCGTAAATTTCTGTTTTCAGAGAATACAGCCTCAAGCTCTCTGTCCTCAGCCCCGGTTTGGCTGGCGGGAGGGGGGAGGGGTGGACCTTGGTTGTAGGAAGTGACATGGAGGCCAGGGCATCTTCCAAGACAGCCAGGAGATGACATGGGCCACTCGCCGCCCTCGATCCACAGAGAGCAGACCAGGGCCCCGGCCACCTGCCCCATCCGCACTTCCCTCGCTCTGACTCAGCGCGAGACATAGAAAGCTATTTCCCGAAGAGCACCCTCAGGTAACAATGTCATTGGCTAAAGAGAAGTGCCAGTTTTCTCAATGAAGTAGGTTACTTAAGATTCTCGAATACACATCTTCCCCAAGTATATATGTTTCATAAGCCCCTCCCCCCTTTTTTTTGGCTTGGAACCCAAAACACGTGACCTGGAAACATTTTTGTCTTAAATTGGCCCTTATGGTAAAAAAAAAAAAAAATAGGCATCTCCCCATTCCTGTAAGAGCAGCGGTTTTCAGCAGCCGACGGGACACTTGGGAATGTCCCGGGACATGTTGCATTGACATGACGGGTTGCTAGGAAGCAGCTGGCGTCGAGTGGGAAGCGGCCAGGGATCCTGCTCACCATCCCACAGGGCACGGGCCAGTTCCCGACAACGGAGGGACGGGGCTCCCAGGGCCGGGAACGCGGAGGCTGGGAAATCCTGCTCCGGGAGCGTCCACACTGTGTGTCTCGGGGAGTGACGGGGAGGGCTGGGGTCTGGCCCTCCGGAGAGTTGGTTTTATTGATCTGTGTCTTGGCCTCAAGCCTTCGCGTCACGCCGAGCGGAAAGGCAGCCTCTGGGGTTCACGTGACTGTCTCTGAGACGTCACTGGTGTCCAGGACGTCGCTGGAGCCCCCGCCCTCCCCCTCCAAGGGTCTCCCAGAGCCCGGTTCTCTCGGACCCAGTGTCAGAAAACGCTGAGCTGCTCCTGGGGCCGTCGCGAGTCTCACAAGAGGCGGGTTTCCCTTTTCGCTTTGACTGACAGGAAGCTCCGAGCCCAAGTTCCAGCCCGCCTTGGAGAATCGTCGAGGCCCACCCCGTACCAGTTCTCTTCGTTCTCTACTTGTTAGCTGCAGCCTCCTTCTCCCTCTGATCTATTTTTATCCTATTGTGACTTACCCCGTTTTGTAAGCGCCTCTAATCCTTTCTGGAACAAAGCGGGGCATCAAATCAAAACAAGCTTCAGCGGAGCCCTGTGGCCTTGAGGGTACGTCTGAAGCTGCCAAAGTCATTTCAGGGTTGGAGCCCTGCCGGGAGGGAAGGCCGCTCTCCTGGCCCCTCCTGGGAGCCTCATCTCGAACAACAACAGCTCAGTGAGTTAGAGCAACAGGTTTCAGAGGCAGCGCCACCAACACCCATCTGCCTGCAAATACCTTCCCTCTCCCCAAAATGTTCCTTCCAGCCTCCCATCTGGCTGCTGGCAGGCGGCCCCGGGGCCCAGAGGAGACTGCAAAGGGGAAGCAGACAGACAAGGCCCTGTTTTCATTCCTCACTGTCCGCTCCTGCACCTTCTGTGGGAGGCGGGCCCTTTGGGAAGCTGTGTGTGAAGGCTGAGTGAGCCAGGGAGGGGTGGGGAGAGCAGCAAACACCTGAAAAGGTCACCCCACCCACCCCCGCCCCCCTGGCCACCCCCACAACTACCACACGCCCGGCCCTGTGAGCAGCTGCGCCCCATACTATCCGCCGGCTCAAAGCCAGCCCAGTCCCTTTCGCAATCTCCGCTCAGCTCACGCATGGGACTTTGGCCGGCGCCTTCTTCTCCCGGTCTCCGTTTTACGGAGATGGGGCCGGCCTGGCGAGCGAGACTCAGTGGCTGAGCTGAGCATCGACCTATGAACCAGGAGGTCACGGTTCGATTCCCCGTTCGATTCCCGGTCGGGGCATGTGCCTGAGTTGTAGGCTTGATCCTAGTGTAAAGCGTGCAGAAGGCAGCTGATCAAAGATTCTCTCTCATCATTGATGTTTCTCTCTCGCCTTCTCCTTTCCTCTCTGAGATCAATAAAAAAATATTTTCAAAAAAACGGAGGTTTTGAACCTGACCCTGAGGTTTGAAGATGCTGAGAACCCCCTGCCTTCGAGTGCTGATGCCTCCATTCGTTTTTGTCCACTTTCTCCTGGGGACATGGCCACCCTGGTGAAGAGGAGGGGGCGGCTGGGTGTGTGCTGCTGAAGGTGTGGGTCCAGTGAGGTCTCTCCCCAGGCCCCTGGGGCGTCCCGAGTGGCTGGCATTTCTCCATCAATCAGTAAGCAGGCCTGGGCTCGGGGCGACTGGCTTCTCCCAGACCCTTGGGAGCCCTGTGCCAGTGGCTGCCGGTGGAACGGGGGTTTACACTGTCTGGGAGCACAGCCCCCGCTCAGGTGTCCTCCCCTCACCTGCCTGGGCCCCCTCTGCCCTGCATTCGCCTCTGCAAGGGCCTAGAGCTAGGCTGCAGCACCCAGGGGATGTGCTGGGCTGGGGATGTGCCCCAGTACCCCCGCCCCCAGGGCCACCACACCGTAAGCTCCTGACTCCGGTCTCAGCCGCGTCCCTCATTAGCTCTAATGAGCCAGACTAGGGACAGAGGAACATTTTAATTGTGCTTCTCACTGCTTCCCAGGACGAGGATGAGTACTGCCCAAGTTTCTCTGTGGACGCCAGCGAGAGGGACAGGGTTTCCAGGGACTCAGCCACAGGGGCCCCCACATGGAGGGGCGTGCGAGGGGCATCAGCTGCAGAGCCAGCCCTGCCCAGGCTGACTCCTCCTCTCAGAGGTGCCAGGGCGGAGGGGAAGGTGGTGAGGCAGGTGGGCGGGGGAGTCGCCGGGCCCCCACCCAGGGCAGACACACCCCTGACCTCACTTTCCCGAGTGATGGAGCTTCCAGGCGCCTGAGTGACGAGGCGAATGTGTTTACTGAATATATTTTTATTGATTTCAGGGAAGAAGGGAGAGGGCAGAGAGATAGAAACATCAATGATGAGAGAGAAGCATTGATGGCTGCCTCCTGCACGTCCCCGACTGGGGATGGAGCCTGCAACCCGGGCACGGGCCTGACCGGGAATCGAACCGTGACCTCCTGGTTCATAGGTCAGCGCTCAACCACTGAGCCACACCTGCTGGGCGCACACGCGTTCTGAACCAGCCACGTCCTGACTCCATGACCTGGTGATCGGAGAACGTGGCCACACGGCTCTCAGCACATAGAACGGGGGCACCAGCGTCTACCTCCTGGGCCCAGAGGCTGAAGGAGAACACGCCGCCTCTAGGTTGATTTCCCAGGTCAAAGGGTAAAGGGCACCTGCTGTGTCCTTCTGGCGACACATCCCATGTGTGTGGGCACCTGGGGCTTGCGAGAACACGGCCTCCCTCGGGTTACGAACAACTTTGCCAACACCAGGCCAGGGACCATGTCTGTAGCCTCGCCCTGTGGGAGCAGCAGGATCCCCCCCTAACAGGCGAGGACACTGAGGCACAAAGCGGCGAAGTGCCCAAGGGCCCCCAGGGCCCCCAAAGGCCCAGAGCCCCTGAGGCCTGCCCAGGCCCCCGAGGACCCCTCCCTCACCCCTACCCACCCACAACCTGAAATAAGCCCTCCCAGAAACAGAGATGAACACCAGACATGCTATAGGGCTTTTTTATTGTTGCCTCGCTGTTTTAACAATTTCATGAAAAAAATATACAGTTCAGAATCTGGGACGGACCACCATCTGGATGGGGCTCAGGGGCAGCCGGGGGAGTGGAGGGGGGCTGCACTACTGGAAACCAAGCACCCACGGGGCACCGGGGCACTGGGATCAGGAACAAGTTAGTGTCTGAGTCAGGATCTGGCAGAAAATGGGAGGCTGGAGCAGCCACGCCCACCCGCCCCAGCTGGATCCCGTGGCAGCCAGCCCCGCCCCCACTGGCTGCCAGGGGACAGAGGCGGCGGGTCAGCCTGTTCCCAGGACAGAAAAGCCATCATCAGTTAACCCTGGGACTCACACCCGGGCTCCTACGCAATCCCCTTGAGCAGGGTTAGAGGACATCGGCTGACATCTGCAATCCAGAGGAACAACAAATAACTTTTTAATATAAGCATGTTCCGTATGGCAAGGGGGCATACTTATACCGAGAAACTATCCTTTTGTTTTGTTGCTAAATCTAGCCACCCTGCTACCTCTACCCCCAGGGCCCTTGCCCCAGCAGCTGGCGAGAGGCCTGGGAAAGAAAGAAGTCGTCAGGGGGGAGGGGGGAGAAGAGGGAATAACTCAGTCCAAAAAAAAGAAGCATTTATCTCCCCCAGGAATGATATATTACTTTAAAAAAAGTCATTTTTCAGAAATATTCTAATGCACTGGACGCCTTCCGCTGTTAACAGCTATGGGTGGAGGGGGACTTGCACGCAGACACGCACCCCATACCATTCTAGGTAAAGTTCGGAAGCACCGAGTAAAGTGTCTGAAAGGATGTTCCCTCTGATGGCAGATCTGTCGCTGCTCCTGATGCTGCTCCAGGGAGACGGCAACACACCAAGGAAGAGCGAACAAAAAACCCAGGGAGCTGCGCGGCCGTGACAATCTGTTCTAGTGTCCTCGGGCAAGGCCCCGTCCCCAAAATTCAAGAAGCCCAGGGCTTCGGCTCCCCACCCTGTCCTCCTCCCCGGGAAGGGCCCGCTGTTAGTGTTCAGGGCTGTCAGTCCGGCTTTACTCCAAGGGCTCCAGGCTTCCTGTGCTGGGGCAGGCGGGGGAGGGAGGGGCCAGGACGCGTGCCCACCCCATGCCTCCCGTGACACACATTTACCGGGGAAGTCACTGTGGGGCCACAGCAGAGCTGGGGGGGGGGGCAGGAGAGCCGTGTCCTTAGCCCTGGCCAAAGGTCGCCGCTGAGCCGACCTGCCCCGCTGCAGGCAGGAACTCAGGTGGACATCTGGCAGCCATCTGAGGCCAACGTGGAGAAAGGAAACGGATTCCTGCTGTAAGAACACAGCCTCGTCCCATCCTACAGAGCTCAGGGAGGCCGGGCTGTGGGGCAACATCAGGCACCAGGGCCAGCTCCCCAAGTCCTCCACGGGCCCCAGGCTCGGCCAGCGCCCCTCATCCGTGAGGCCCAGGGTCCGTGGCAGAAGCCAGGCTCTTGGCTGCCCCTGAACGGGACGGGGGTGGGCTGGACGCAGGGAGACGGGGCCAAGAGCGGGGAGCCACCTCGGCCGGCCTCACACTCGGATCTCATCCTCCTCCTCCTCATCCATGAAGGAGAACTCCTTGTCGGGCTGCCTGGGGAGAGCGGCCCGGGCCCCCTCCGGCGCCTGGAAGGCGGGGCTGCGCTCCTCCAGGACGCTCGAGGTGCAGCTGGACAGGGAGCTGCTGTCCCGCGTGGTGTGGCTGCCCATGCTGCGGGCGGAGCCGGGACTGGGGGCGGCCGCCGCCCACCCCTCGTCCTGCAGAGCCTGGGGCTGCGGGGGCGAGTCCTGGCTGGCCTTGCCTTCCTGCCTGGCCGGGAGAGGGGCCCCCGACCCAGATAGGGGAACCTTGGGGAGACTGCCCGGCTCCTCGTCGCCGTGGTAACCGCCATCCTCTTCCTCCGGATCCCACTCCTCCTTGTTCATGATGCTCAGGACGTCGCCCAGCATGGAGGGCCCCAGGTCAATGTGGAAGGACATGATGGACTCGGCGTGCTTCAGCCCGAAGCCGGCCTTGGGCATGACGGGCAGATCCGTCAGGTCCCCGAAGGCCCGCTCGTCCAGGAGGGGGTCGAGGGAGTGGGGGGAGGTGGCCCCGTTCCGCCGCCGGGGCCCCTCCTCCACACGGGCCGCCTCGGGGTCACCCTCCCCGCCGTCGGCCTTCTTCACGGGGCTGGACGACAGGCTCTTGGGCAGCTTGCCGGCGCCCCTCTCCGCGGCCTCCTTCTCGTTCAGCTGGGGCAGGGACATGGCGTTCTTGACAAACAGGGCCGAGTCCCGCAGCGAGCCCAGCATGTCCCTCTGCTCCCGGTCCCCCCGGGTCACCGACTGCGACCGCTTGCTGCCCCGGAACTTCCGGGACAGGAGGCCGCGTTTGGAGGACGAGGTGGACGCCTGCTCGTCCAGGGACTCGCCCTCCAGCTCCCCAGCCTTGCTGTTGAGGAAGGAGGTGTCCCCAAAGGCGTCCCCCGCCCGGCCCACGTGCATGGTGTGGCGGAAGTCGCCCAGCGGCGCGCTGATCATCTCGGCCGTGAGGTCCGCGCGGGAACGGCGCTTGGAGTGCACGGAGCTGGACACCAGCTGCTTGAGGATGGGCATCGTGCCCGAGGGGAGGGGGGGGAGGCAGGGCCTCCGAGGCTGCAGGTGAGGCTGGCGTCAGATGTGAGGTCCGGTGGGTGGAGGGGGCGATGAGGAAGGGCTCATAGAGCTGCAAGAAGAGAACAGCAGGAGAGGGTTAACCTGGGCTGGCCTCAAGCACAAAAGCCCCAAAAACCCCAGCTCCCACCCAAAAGAAACAATAGGACAGGAGCCAGCAATCAAAGCTATAACCCCGCCCTCTTTCTTCACCCACAGGTTCTCAGGGGCGGGGACTGCTGTTTGCAAAGCTGTTTGGAGTTCAAGGAGCCACAGACACACATTCCCTGAAACCTGAGAGAGAGAGAGAGAGAGAGAGAGAGAGAGAGAGAGAGAGAGAGAGAGAGCTTTCTTCCAAAGGACAATACCGGCCCCGCCCTCCACACCTCCGCCCAGGCCCAGCCAGGATGCTGCCAGAGCCAACAGGACCGCATTTAAGGAGGTGGAGGTGCAGCCCCGAGGCCACAAAGCAGTGAAGGAAAGAGTCAGACAGAGCCTAGGACTCGGCTCCTCTGAGCAGCACGTCTGGAGACACGCGGAAAGTTCTTCCTGCTGCCTGACCTCGATCCCTGTGAAGTCAGTGGACACCTCAACCTGAGTCACCGTCCTCAGAGGAGGGAGAGGACAGGACAGGCCCCAGGGCGCTGCTGCCTGGCACCTCAACCCACGTGGGCGGCCCGGCTCACTTTCTGAATCAGAATTGGGGTGGGGTTGGCTGCAGGATTCACAGAACCAGCTCCCCAGCCTTGCAGTCCTTGCTGGGTGTCCCTCAGAGGAGGACCCCGCCTGTGATGTCTCCATCGTGGGGCCCAAGCTCTTTGTCAGGGATCCACCCTCTGCCCCTGGGGGAGATCAAGACTGGGAGACTCTCTCCCAATCTCTTTAATCACTAGGGGTGCACGGAGGCGGGGACCCCAGGTGATCCAGATCTGTGGAACGGCAAAGGGCTACCTGAAAGCATGAGGCACCACCAGGCAGCTCCTGGCAAGGGTCAATCAAGTTCAAGTTCAGTGTTGGAGCCAAACGGGCCCCTTTCCCTCAGGAGGGACCTGCCCCAAATGCTAAACCCAACAGCATAGGACCGAGCAGGGTGGGGAGAGATGGGCGCAGGGACTGAGCAAAGTATGTGGGTGACGGGGGGGGGGGGGTGCTGGGTCACCAGTCCTGCTAAGAGCACCGTTCTCAACAGCACCCTCATTGCAGGCCCATCCTTCCCCCATGCCAAGTTCAACTCGTGGGTGCCCCACCCGAAATTCTCCCTCCCTCCCTCCCGGCCCCCCGCTACTCCCCCCAAGCTAGGCCACCGCATCCCACCGGCCCCGACATCAGCCCAGCAGGCCTCCCTGCTGCTCGTGTCCCTTTCTAGTCCATTAGCTAAAACAAAACCCTATCGGACTCCCCAGGGCAGACCCCCTGGTCCAGCATCAGTCGCTCGATGCCACCGCTTCCCGCTCCCTATTGCCCACGCTCTGCCCTGGCCCCCGAGCCTCTCTCTCCTGGGTTCCAGGACGGAACACATGCAGTCCCGGAGGGGATACCATCACCTGGTTCACCCAGCATCTTTCAGGGCTCCTCAGAGACACCATTTTTTCTGGGAGACTGTCCTTAGCCAGGTAGTCTGCCTCCCTCCTCTCCTTCCCCCCCCCCCCCCCCAGCAGGCACAGTTACACTGTCCCACCCCTGTCAGCCGGACTGCAATCCCCCCCTGGGCTGGGCGCTTCCAGAGGGTTCCGACAGGCCTGCTCACCGCCGGATCCCACCTTCCAGTGCAGCGGTCGCCAACCGGTGGTCCACGGGCCACTGGTGGTCCTGGAGGTCTGAAAGGCTGGTGACCGCTGTTCCAGTGCATGACACAGCTGGCCTCAACCACCTCCCCTCCCCAGCCCGAGTTTCTCCCTTTCGCCTTCTCGAGGCCAAGGACAGTGCTGGCTTCGCTTCCGCCGACAGCCCGGCTCCAGGCTCCCTGCCTGACCTCTCTGTGTCCTCTAACCCCATCCCACGCTCTCCTCCGGGCCCAGCTGCTGAGGCCAGTCTCATGGCTCCCCCTCCAGCAAGTGCCCCTCCTCCCCGCAGGCAGTCACACTGCTCCTCACTCCAGCAAAGTTCTCCAGGCCCCGGGGCAGCCCTGCCGCCAGCTCAGAGCCAGGTGAGGACCGTGCCGGAAGGCCTTGACATGACCCACTATGCCGGGCAGCTCTCCCTCCTCGCTTCTCCTACCCTACCCTGCACCCTCCTGCTGCCCACGCCCTGGGACCTGACCTCTCAACAATGAGCCGGGAGCAGCCAGACCAGGGACTGGCAGACACTTTCTTTCTTTCTTGTTTTTTAAAACCACCCCAAAACGGATTCTCTTTTTTTTTTTCTTTAATGCATTTTTATTGATTTCAGAGAGGAAGGGCGAGGGAGAGAGAGATAGAAACATCAATGATGAGAGAGAATCATTGATGGGCTGCCTCCTGCAAGCCCCCCACTGGGGATTGAGCTCACAACCCTTGACCGGAATCGGACCTGGGACCTTTCAGTTCCCAGGCCAACGCTCTATCCACTGAGCCAAACCGGCTAGGGCCGGCAGACATTTTCTAGAGGGCCAGACAGTCGAGATTTCCGCTCTGCGCCTGCAAGCGTCTTCGCCGTAGCTATGCAACTGTCTTTGCAGTAGGAAAGCAGCATCGGACTCCATGTGAACGAACGGGTGTGGCTGCGTCCCAATAAAACTTCATTTCCCAAGACAAGCGGCGGGCCGGATTCGGCCTGTGGGCCATAGTTGGCTGACCCCTAAATCAAACACATAAGGGCACTGGCCGTGGAGTCCTCCCGTCACCACTGCTCCGGGCCCAGAGCTCTCTCCACGTGCTCCAGGCCTCCGGGAGGTAGCGTCCCTGGTCAGCTGCCAATACCCAAGGAGCAGCCCTCCCCACTTCCGGCTGGGGAGGGCGGAGTCCGGAGAAAGGAGGGGCCCGGCTGCTCCCTGGAGAAAGTTCTAGTCTAACCCTGGAGCAGATCTGGCCCGTGGAGCCCCATCATTCCTTGCGGCGGGGCTGTCCTGTACGCGGTAGGATGTTAAGCAACATCCCAGGCCTCGACCCATCCGATGCCAATTGCATCGCTTCCCCAGCCGTGACAACCAAAACGTCCCCAGAAATGCCAGGTGTCCCCTGGGGGGCAGCACCACCCCTGGTCTAAGAACTGCTGCCCGGAAGTGAGGACACGCAGGTGAAAAGAAAGCCGTGAACAAAGGTGAACAAACAGGAAGAGAAAAAGAGGGGGCGGGGCGGGAGGGGACAGAGAGTCAGACTGGTGGGAACAGGGACATGAGCCCAGAGTCCCTCGAGGGTTTCGACACATGGGCAGGAATCCCCGGCCCAGAAAGCAACTTGCAGCCTGTGGTTTCCGATCTCAAGTGCTTGTGAGAGAACAAAAGGGAAACCGCAGGCCCAGCTGCCCAGGGCTCCGCGGGATGACGCGGACCCTGTGGCCACCCACAGGGATCGGGTACCCCGGCCGCACGGCCACAGGACAGGGGGTCCCCTCGGAGCACACCCTCCCGGCAGGGCTCTGCAGCGGAGTGACGGGTCCGCAGGGAACCCCCTAGACCAGCCGCGGGACACCCAGGGCCCTGCAGGGCCCGACACCCCAAGAAGGCAGAGACAGGTCTGGCCTCTCCGGGGGCGGGCACGAGGCTCTGCGGCTTGTGCAAAACCAACCATCTTCCATATCCAGCATGAAAAGGTCCCGAGAGGTGGGGCCTAGCTGGTCCCACAGCCCAGTGAGGAGGGGCTGCAGGACCTACGAGTCCCAGGGAGGGGCTGGGGCTCTGTGACCCTAGAGCTGGAGAGCAGACTGGACAGCCCAGGCTTGAGGGCTGGTGGGAACCCATGGGGCTGTTTGAGGCCCCTGAGTGACAACTTCATCCTAAGCTTCTAACACAGCGGTTCTCAACCTGTGGGTCGCGACCCCTTTGGGGGTCGAACGACCCTTTCACAGGGGTCGCCTAAGACCACCCTGCATATCAGATATTTACATGACGATTCATAACAGTAGCAACATGACAGTGATGAAGTAGCAACGAAAATAATTTTATGGTTGGGTCACACCATGAGGAACTGTATTTAAAGGGCCAGAAGGTTGAGAACCACTGTTCTAACAGAAGGATGTGGGGGTGAGATGAACACAGGTTCAAATACAAGCAGGTGGCCCGGGCCAGGCCTGGGGCCAAGTTCAGGAGGCCCGGGCGCCCTCCCTCCCCCACAAGGGGAGCTGCCAAGGGAGCCGTGGCTCTGGGAGGGGGTGTGGCTCAGTGCCGTGACTCAGCTCTGGGGAAGTGGCTGAAATGGGCCTCAGAGGCCAGGGCGGCCACTCCCCAGAGCCGGTCCCGGCCAGGACACCCCCACCCACCCCGGAAGCCACATCCCACTCTCCTGGCAGTGACCACAGCTCTCCGCCTCTCCGGCCTCTGGTGGAACCAGATTCCTCTACCCTCGGCCCCACTGACCACAGAACATTCCTTCAAGGCAGAAGCAACTGAAGGCCAGGCCCCCTGGTCGGTCCACTCAGCCCACACCCTGGGCTCAGCTCTGCTCCAATCCCATCCTGGGACCAGAGACCCCCCACCCCCCCACCCCAGTCTTCCCATCAGCTTGTCCTACAGTCACTAGGCACACAGCAGGCCAAGTCCCGGGCAGGAGCCTGTCCCTGGCAGCCTGGCCCGCGCAGGAGATAGTGCTGGGGCAGCCAAGCAGGCCTCCCGCTCTCCAGCTGACCCGCAGCTCACCCCGGAACACACAGGACACATGCTGCACACCCACTGCTGCCCAGCCCCCTCCACCCGGTACCAGCACCAGGCAGCGTGGCTGGACAGAAGGGGCCTCGGGCACGGCGTCATTTGTGGCTTGGAATGACCACAAGAGGCTTCATTCATTACTCTCTCTGTTTTTAAAAAGATGTTTGTATTGATTTCAGAGAGGAAGGGAGAGGAACATCAATCGGCTGCCTCCTGCACGCCCCCTACTGGATATCGAGCCCACAACCCTCGAATGTGCCCTGACGGGGAATCGAACCATGACCTCCCGGCTC